CTGTTATATATTTCAAATGCAAATACAAATTGTATATTTTACGCTGAAATTCTTGTTCGGAAAGGCTTTGAGTACATTAAAGCCAAATTTTTTCAAAAGGTGACATTTTTACATTTAACTTTAATATTGTTTACAAGTAGGTACTTCGCAAGTTTTCGGAATCATTACAAGACGAATATACAATACACTGAAACATCTTAATGCCTACATGTAAATTGTATTTACAATTATGTTGCCTCATGTCCTGTACCCAGGGTAGTTATGATTCTGCCCAACCCGAAAAAACCTGGGTTGATTATTTTGAGAAAAGCCCTAGTTTTTTTTCATGATTAATGCATTTTATTATTAACCAATAAGCTTTTTATAATAAATTTATAATAGAATAAAATACAAACCGCATACATTAAAACATTTCTATTATTTCTATATTCTTTGCTTAAAATTTTTTAGACTTTTTTTAACTCTTCATATTACAAGAAATTGAAAATATTGTTCTCACGAAAGTTTAAGCTACTAATTTGCAATGCAATTCAAATAACAGTTATATTTTAAATACCAATTCTCAACCATATTATGTACAGTTACAGATAGAGTTAAAAAATATAGCACCTTACACGTTTTGACTGGTGAAATACTTGTTCTAGAATTCTTGTTCTCATACATTCCTTATTGTTGAAATACTAGAGCTTATTCTAGAAGCTCACTTTCACAGTACACAGCATAAGACAATAACACAGTTGGATAAGTAATACAATGAAACATTTTATAAATACATTTTTTACGTTAAAAATTTACTTTGAAAATTGATGTCTTTTATTTGAATTAACATAAAATCTATTTCTTCACTTAAATATTTAGTAGTTTTTCGTTATTCTAAAACATAATAGGTCAATTATACATAGGTTCCCTAGCAGAAAAATTACTTGCGCCCTCATTGGAGCAATATTCATGAATTTTGGCTCAATAGACATTCAAATTGTAACGTTGTATCGATAAAACGTTCCGTTATTTTGCGATTATGGTCCTCAATAGAAATTTCCTATTCACCTGATATTTTGTTGCCTTTTTACAACCAATATCGGCCCTATATAGAGTTGTCAGATTCACCCCATATTTTATATTCATTATTCAGCCAATATATGCCCTATATTGGGTATATATTAACCAATATTGGCCCTACATAAGACCAATATTAAAAAATATAGACACCCCAATATTGGTCCTTTGGTGCCTGTTCATATAGGACTCATATTGTGCCAATTTTAAGCCCAACTGGAACCAAGGTAAAATTGTTGCTAGGGTAATTGGACCCTATTATTGTAATTAAAAATATTGTCAATTTATCGATGCAAATGACATTGATATAAAAATTTATGAGTAATTTTGGTTATTAAGAGTTTAATTAAATAAATTAAATAGTATTTATTAACGAAGCAATACTTACTCTTAGACTATAAAGAATTAAAAAAAAAGGATGAAAAAACTAAAGTTTATAAAAACCCAATTAAAAGATCCAAATAAACTCCCCCAGAAAAACCCAGTAGGTGGTTGGTTTTTTTCTGAAAAACCCGGGTTTTTTTCAACCCTGCCTACACCTTAGAGCAGAAAAGTGCTTAAAATTGCGACGTGCGTCCCAAAACATTTTGTGTTTGGGAGTAGTTTAATTTACGTCCAATTTCCTGGTGAATTTTTTTTTTTAATTACTAGGAAAACTCAATATGTTGTACATAATTTTTGTTTCATTATTTTTCATTTTCAAAATTTGGTATTTGCCTAATTACGTTTTTTTCTTTCTTTCTTTGCAAATTTAGTTTGAAAAATAAACTTTTTCGTCTTTTTTTTTTAAAAAAAAACTGGCGATGATTTAACAAGTGAGCGTTGTATATTTTTGACGATACCTGCAGAACAATTGTTATGATCATTAGTCTCCTTGCAGAGCATAAGATAATTTCTTTCCTTGCGCCATTCATTCAATACGGATTGAACTTTTGCGGAATTTTTTCTGCATTGGATTTATTGAAAATGGTAGACACGTGTAATATTTTTTTTCTTCCCTTATTGCTGTTTTTTTTTCTTCTCTCCCTTGGGTGCAATAAAAAATGCTGTTAGACAAACGCTTAAGATTGTTGTAGTTATAATTGAAATACAGAATTAACAGTAAACCAGGAAAGTGAAAAGCAATAATTTAAGAGCTTACATTTCTTCGATATTTTTTGTTAACCAGTATGGGTGATTTTTGAAATATGTTCTATCTTTACAGCTATTTGTTTCCAGTTATTATCTGCATAATTATTTGATCTAGCCTTTGTTATCGTATTATTAGGCTTGGGACCCTGTGGCAACGTCTGAACGTGTCAATCAACGATGACATCGGTGAAAACCGGGCTTGTTAAAAACTGTTTCTTGAATACGTGTTTCGAACTTTGACGCAAGAATATCGGCATTTTAAAAAAATATCACTGATAGTAACTCAGCAATGAAGAGCACCGTTTTTTTTTTCTTTCTAAATAAAATTTGTAGCAATAATTGCCGAGACAAAATGATCAAATTGCTACATATATTTTCGATGGAATCGGTGCGAGTGTGAGTAATAAAATGAAGACTAAAATGTGTGACTTGAAATTTTCATGTGCGTAATACAATTAAAAATATTCGATAGATTTTATTCAGCCAAATTCATAAAAGTAGGGAAAAGTGTATTACATTTATTAATTTTTCTTTTGTTATAAATTTGAATTGGTAACGATATCCCCCGTCATAGTCATATTTTATTAAAAGATAAAAGGTGGTGACCGTTAAAAAAATGAACTGAAAGAACATGATTTCTAAAGCGAACTATCTTTTAAACTTTCGTGAATCTATGTTTTTTTTTATATTATCCATTTGAAATTTTGCTGAAGCCAGTCATTATCGAATCTTTATTTCTCAAATGAGAATAGAAAAATTGCGAGCATTTCTTTCCTCTCCGATGTGCGAGAAAGGCATCTTTTTAATATAATTCTGTGGAAAATAAAAATCTTCCTGAACTTTTTGCAGAAAAGAAAACCAAAATTTTTTGTTTCCCAAAAGAAAAATCTTTCTGCAAGATCTCAGTTAACATTCTGCGATTATGTCGCTGCGATGCTGCCAATGGGGTTTGCTGGCATCTTTGTTTCTCAAGATCAATTTTTTAAATTAAGAGAAGAAAGAAATGTGTTTATATTAGCTACGAAAAGGTACATTAATTTTACAATATTTTATGTATTAAAATTGAAACGAGAATGTAATTTTTACGAAGATAGGAGAACGAGTGATGATATAAACTTAGGGATTCTGCTTTGTTAAAGTTCATAAATTTTTGTGTCATATTCTTTTAAATTAGAATAAAATACCTACTGTATATAATTACTATGTAATGCATTTGGTTCCTATTTTCCAAGGCACATAGAAATAAATAGTAATTGCTTTAGATATTTCATTACGATATGCTTAGGGAAGTTATGTAGGGCCCTAGATATTTTATTTTTATATTTTATAACAGTCCTTGAACAGCCGACCTAATTTTTTGGGTTTACAACTACTAATATTCAACTCCATAGCCTTGTAATTTTGAATCCAATCCAGAAGACAAGGGAACTCCTGGATCAAGTATTAGTAGAAATTTGCCTTTTGTTATAACTCACTCGCATTTGCGTTGAAGGAAACCACGAAATACTTCCACGGTTAGCCTGATGGCAAGAGGACTCTAACCCATGATTCGTCTACCACTGAGGATATTTTACTTCAGCAATGTGATCTGTGCAAACCGAATGAATAATTCGTATCGACCAGCCGTCGCTGGGATTCGAACCCGGTTCACCTCATTGAAAGGCGAATGCTCTATCCTCTGAGCCATCGTGGCTCAGGGCTCTAGATATTGTACGAAGATGCTGATGTTACGGAAAAAAAATAGTTTAAAATTATCCGCATAATCGTCTAATATTTGCACAATTGTTATTTTTTCGCAAAATTTTTCCATTTACCCAATGAACTTGTCTTAACGTTCAAATTTTCTTTTTCAATTCTTAGAATACTTTAAGATACTTTTCCTAGTTCATCTGCAACCTAACAGCATAATTTAAAAAAAATTGCTGCTCGCTTGTTACTTAATTTTTAAAGTGTTTCTGCCCAATTTATTGGACTGTAAATGTTGATTGGCTTAAATTTTATAAAATTTTAATATTAGTTATCGAATTGTTTTAATGTTACTTAGTCAGTCAAAAGATTTACTTACGTTACTGAGTCTTTTATTCTGAATCAAGCATAATATTTTTGACATTAAAATTGAGACTATTTGTATTTCATATTCCTTATCAATATAACATGAAATTAACAAATTTATTGCGAAATTTAGAAGGAGGGAAAAGGTTAAAGGATAAATAAATAACTGCTTTTTATTTTTTAAGAACATTATTATTATCTTATTATTAGACTTACATATATATCTCTAATCTTTAGTTTAATTATTAAAGATTTTGCTAATTATAAATAACAAATAACAATCAACGCTTCCAACTGAATATTTTACTGTCACTTGATCAACTAAAGTGTCTCATTTAAGTTTAAATGACATAATCCAAAGCATTAATAATTTCTCACTTCCTGTGTTTTCAAACTTAAATCTGATTTTAAAATTTTATTTTATTTCATTTCATAACCCTCGGTGAAAAAAAGCCTAATCTAATATAATCGAAAATTCGAATTGCCAAAATTTCATGAAAATAAAACTAATATTTCATTTCGAAACTTAAACTCCGATCAGCTACTCTGGACAATTATATTCTTTCCTAAGCGGTTAACTTTATTCTCCGACATTTCGCCTACTTTTCCTGCATTGGCGAAAAAATTGACTGGGGGAGGCCAAATATGATGCCTAAATTTTATAAAACTAATATCTAATTTCAAAACTTAATGAACTTCGATCTACTTCTGAAAATAATAATCCTTCCTCGGCGATTAATTTTATTATTCTCCGACAATTCGCTTACTTATACTGCATTTTAGTCGAAAAAAATCGCCTTAGGAAATCTCAATAACAGCCTAAATTTCATAAAATAAAACTTCTATCTTATTTCAAAACTTAATAAAATGCGATCAGCCACTTCTGAAAATAATATTCTCTTCCTTTGCGGTTAACTTTATTCCCCTTCAGTTCGTCTACTTTTGCTGCATTGGAGTCGAAAAAGTTGACAGGGGAGGCCCGATAACCCCGTCCCAAAGCCTACCCTATACTTTTTTCGCCTCTAAGTTTCTTGTCGTATGCCCTCACATTTCCCATGATTCCTCGACTCTTTCTCTCTCCGGAAACGGGGGTAGGGCAATCAGGGGGTAGGGTGTAGAGGGAGTGAAATTCCGTGGAAAACCGGATCGCTGTTTATTCGCTTCCAAACTCTCTTATGGGATGGTTGCATTTCGGTCTAGCTAGTCTATGCTTCAATTCTACGTACGTACCATGCATTGTGGCGTGGGTATTTTATTTGTTTAGATGAAACTGTGCTGTTTATGTACTTAAGAAGATAGTTCGAATTGGATTGTATGTGTTATGTGAAATCTTGATCTGAATATTTATGCCGCACTGAGTAAGTTTGCTTTTGGATTCAAATCGAGTCAGATCTATTTGGATCTACTTAAATATGTTATGAGATTTTGGTAGTTTATGTTGATGCATGTTGCCTTTTTGTGGTCTCTCTAGGTTTGTGAAATGTAAGTTATTATTTAAGTAAATGATTTGAGAGATAAATATTTATGGTGGGTTTCTGAAATTGTGAAATAAGTAGTTGAATTGATTGTTAGGGTTTTTGTTTATATCTTGCTGTACTTATATTTATTTATTTTATTTAGTTAGACTCGGTTAGAGACTTATACTCGTTTAACCATCATAACTTTTTTTTACTAAAGCTCTAAATCCCACCCTTTTATTTTAATATTATAAGGGAATTAAGTTGTTCTGTGGGAAATAAACTATATTTTGTACTCATGATTGAAGAGCTGAAAGTTATTTATGAAGTGATTTTGAGGATTTTCGGGGGAAGGTTTTTTTTCTGATTCTTTTTCATTTTAGGGTATTTTTTCATTTCTGAGCAATTTTTTTTTCATTATAAGGCATTATATTGGATTTAAACCATTTCTTTTTAACATTTCAGGTTTTTTTCTTTGATATTTGGTCATATTTTTTAAGAAATATTTGGAATATTTTTTCCTTCTTTCGTATGGTAGCTCTATCTCTTGTAATCTTTCTTCCCTTCCCATATATTACTCCCCTCCCCCATTTAATATTTATTTGAAACTTAAAGGAAATGTTTCAATCAATATTTGTACTTCTTTGCATTTTTTTTATGAAGATATAGATTGAAATTCTTGTTTAATTAGAAGTGAATTTTTCGGTATTAAGTTCAGTTTGTACAATTTTCAAGGCATTTTTAGCGATTTTTCGGTTATCGTAATCCCATCTCTTGTTATTTGCAGAAATTTAAGCAGTTAAAAATACGTTATTTCTACTTCTACTGCAGTAAAATATTAATATAGTTTTCGTACAGACGTATACGATTTTTAATTTTGCGATTGTAATTTATTTTTCCGTACACGATAATAATTTAAATTTTCTGTACATACATATATAACTTATTTTTGATCTTAATGCTTTGAAGAATAATTTACACACCTTAAAAGATGGTTTTTTACTAACAAACATTTTATATCTTATGTTATTCCTAAAGTTTATCACATATTTGAGACTATGTTTTACTTTGATTATACAATTGGAAAAGTTATCTATATTCATATTGCTTTTAACAAAGAAAAATAGCTATTTATGCAAAACTTCTCGTAGCTTAATATAGTATCAAAATACTTCTAGCATAATTTATTAATTCCAAATGACAATCGGAAAAATAAATATTTAAGTAAATTCTTAAGTACCAGTAAACTGCAGTTAAATAAAATGACAATGTCAAAAGGTTTTGCTAGTTTACTAATTTTCTTATTTTTATCAGTTGATTGTTTTATATTTAGTAGATAAATCATTAAAGAATATTAGTTTATAAAATATAATATAGTTCATTCAGAGGAGCGAGATTTTTCTTTTCTAAAAGTCTTAAATCCTTGACAATGTTGTGTAATATGGCCTATGGTACTGATTTTTTTTTAAAAATTATGCATAATTTAACATGGTGTAGAGATTTTTATTTTTATTATTAAAAAATGGTTTTAGACTATTCATAGAAATAAAAAATTAGTAAGCGTTTTTTTTTTATAAGAGTTTCTGTAATTTTTGGATAAATAATTAGTTTAAAAGGTTTAATGCAATAGTTATAAGACTGAGACATTCTTTCGATGTTTTTATCTACTAATAAAAAATAAAGGAACTTTTACTTTTGTAACAAAAAGTCTTTATTTGCATTCAGTATTGAGGAAGGGAAATATACAGTTTAAATTCTTTATGTTACTTTTTAAGATTAAAGTGATACTTAAAGAAAGAAACTGTCCTTAAAACTTAATCACAAATGTAGAACCACTTTTTTATTTCTTTATTTTATTTATTTGATTTTTTTCTATTTTTTATTTATTTATTGATTTGTGATATAAGGTCTCTGTTTGAATTTTGGTTCACACAGATATTTTCAAAGTGAAATAAAGAGGTCAAAATTTTGACTGAGTCCAATAGTTGCTCTGCTCCCCATTTTGGTGATTGCGTTGAATAAATTAAAAAAAAAAAAAAAAAAAAACTGTATGTGTATGGCTCATGATAAAAGTGAAGTTCTCAATTAAATAAACAAATCAAAAAGTTTGTATTGCAAATGTGGGAAGCTTTCATTATTAAATCCAAATTTTTTAATTATTATTTCATATTTGTAAATTTTTGAGGCTTAATTAGATAAATAAATTTGCAATTAACTATTAGTGCCCTTAAATTTAAGTTTAGTGCTCATTAAATTTAATCTGTAATTAACATTATTACAGATTTGTCTTTTTTCTAACTGTGCTTTTTCTAATTCTTCGTAACTGCCCTTTAAATTGATTGAGAATAATTATTTTTTAAAATTGTTCAAATCTTCTATAAATTAAGAGTTTTCTATAAAACTGTAGATGTTTTGTTCGAAATAATTATTATATTTTGTTTAAGAAGTTGAATGATTATGTAGTTAATTTTGTATTATTTAGATACTTAATGCTGCATTAAATAAGTTGATTTCTGATTATAGTTCGAAAGAGTTTAAAGTTTTTGTTTTTAGCGTTTCCAATGTTAAAGCTGTTGCTTCCAACTGTTTCGAAAGTTGCTGCTCCAAATTGTTCCTTAAGTACAATCACTTTTAAAGTATCCAAGGTCAAAGCTGTTGCTCCAAACTCTTTCGAAGGTATGAAATAGCTACACCGAATTATTACTAGCATACAATAACATCAGTGTAATTAACCCCTTAACAATCGGTTAATTTTCAAGAAAACGGTCATAAAAGTGCCTATTTTTTTGGCTTTCGTATTTGTATTACGTATTTGATTATTGCGGGCATCTAGTTTAAAATATACTAGCTATCTACAATTACCTTAAAAATATCCTGGTACTGTCACCTGATGTGTAAAATGAGAAATAAAATGTTTTCCGGCCAAAAGAAATGAATTAGTTTTATTCTTATTAGCGCGTTACTAACTGAACATTCCAGCCCGTCAATATCACGGGAGCGAGAAATAGAGGGCGAAACCTCACCCCGTCATTTTCCCGGGAGCGAGAAGGAAGGGGTTAATTAAGAATTTTACTTCCCTTTTATATTATTACAGTTGTTGAAAAATATTAGTTCGAATAAAAGTCGTTTTTTATTTTTATTTATTTATTTTTTTATTTTATAAATATTTTAGCAGGACTTTTTTTAGTGGTTTAAACCAAATTATACCGATCGTGTTTTTTTTCTACCTGGCTAAAATCCGGCAACCCTGCTTTTTACTGTTAAATTCATTTTTAGCGTAAAATTTTACGAATCAAAAATTAAATAAAAAATATCGTGCTTTACTATAATTTTTACAGTAATATTTACTAAATCACTGTTTTACAATAAATAATTTTCTAAAATTTACGGTATAAAATTTAACGGTAAAACTGGATTTTATAGTAAAAAGTTCATTTTTACCGTACCTGAGTGCTGGTACTTTTTATGTTATTTTACCTGAATTTTTTTGCAGTATATAGAGATTAAATGTTTTTCATATTTAATAATTGCTACAATATTTAATAGAAAAATTATGTTTATATAAATTGCATTGCAAGATATTATTAATATAAAGAAAATTTCGATAAAATTTCCATCAATCCATCAGAAAATGTAAAAAGTTCTAAAAAATAATTAGCGAACTTGATGCTAAAAGAAAGTGAACCACGTTGTTTATATTTTTATTAAAAAGTCATTAATGAGCATTTTGTTAGTAAAAGAGAACAAATATTACCTAAGCCTATTTTTTCCACATAGCGTGCATCTCTTTATTTTACGCTTAACTCCTTCAAATATTGCTAGCGATAAAACTCAGAACCAAGTTTTCTCTATAAACTAATCTTTGTCGTATGGCACGAACTAAGGAAAGAACGGTTTTCTTTGTTGTTATTTCGTGAAGGGCATGTTTACAGTCATAACTTGAGCCTCACAAGTTAATTATTTATCTTTCCTGACAGACGATTATAAGATGACACGTTTTTANCCTGAATTTTTTTGTAGCATATATAAAAAATATATTTCTGAATATATTTATAAAAATATATTTTTCACGAAAAATATATAAAAATATATTTTTCTTATTTAATGGTTGCTACAATATTTAATAGAAAATTATGTTTATTTAAATTGCATTGCAAGATATTATTATAAAGAAAATTTCGATAAAAGTTCAATCAATTCATCAGACAATGTAAAAATTCTAAAAAAATAATTAGCAAACTTGATGCTAAAAGAAAGTGAACCACATTGTTTATATTTTTATTAAAAAGTCATTAATGAGCATTTTGTTAGTAAAAGAGAACAAATATTACCTAAGCCTATTTTTTTCAACATAGCGTGCATCGCTTTATTTTACGCTAACTCCTTCAAATATTGTTAGCGATAAAACTCAGAACCAAGTTTTCTCTATAAACTAATCTTTGTCGTATGGCACGAACTAAGGAAAGAACGGTTTTCTTTGTTGTTATTTCGTGAAGGGCATGTTTACAGTCATAACTTGAGCCTCACAAGTTAATTATTTATCTTTCCTGACAGACGATTATAAGATGACACGTTTTTAGGGCAGAAGCTGCTTAAATATTCCTTTATTGAATCATCGCCAAAATTACGAGTTGGCTGAAAGTTTTATGCACTGGTAGTTAAACAAATTTTATTAGGGATATTAGATGGGGGACATTATTTTTATAATAATAATTGTTGAGGAAACTGTTGGATGGAAATGTGAATTAAGCATGAAACCGTAGTTATTGATTTGATTAAACTGAAATAATGTTCGATTAATACTTACCTACAGGTTTATGGCAGGCAATGTAATTTAATTTTATGGAATTTTCTTAGATTAAATTAATATCTTTTCTCAAGACAACTGTTATTAGTTCTTA